CCTGGGACTCGAACCTCGCTGTTGGCTATATAGAACCCAGCTGCCTCTATCACCTGGCCATGAAACCAGCCCTACTCTGCTTAAAGGGAAATTTAGCCAGAGAATGCTTTAGTGACAATTATAAACAAGGAAGAAATATGATATTCCCAACATGAACCAGAAAGTTTGCACTGTAAAACTAAAATATAGCCTAGATTTGAGAGGAAGAGAAAACATACTTCAATAATAAATGCTGTAAAATCAAGAACTGTTTATATAGCAATTATACATGCAAGAAATAAAACAATGTCACTTGACCCATTGTTTTCATTTTATCATTTATTTCATTACCTTTCAAGTCTAAAAAAATAAAGCCTGCCTCAAGGGCAAAAGAAGGCAATCTTTGGAGGAAAGAAAGTGCTATTATTGGCTGTGTACATCTTAGTCTCATTTACCTGAAGGTGACAGGAATTTCATTTTCCTGGACCACAGACAGAAGACAAGAGCCTCACAGGCTAGTGATTTCCAAGTAGGGATATGTAGGAGTGAGCCAAAAAAACTAAGAGCAAATGAAACTCAACGTGAAAAGAAAGGAAATAAAGAAAGAATGGAAATAAATAAAACAGAAAGAAAAAACAATGAAGCAATGAAAGCAAAAGCTAGCTCAAGACCAACTGATAAATCTCTAGCAAGACTGATCAGAAGAAAAAGACGACACAAGTCACCAATATCAGAAATGAGGAAGGTAATGTCGCTACATTCACAGATGTTAGAAGGATGGTAAAGAAACATTATGATTAAGTCTATACCCATTAACTTGTCAACCTAGAGAAATGGACAGAATTACTAAAAGGACAAATTTAGGGAAGACAAAAAAGGTCATCCAAATACAGATTCCTATCAAAGAAACTGAATACATAGTTAAAAGCCATCCCATAAAGAAAATTCTAGGCCAAGTTGGCTTCACAAACGAGTAAGAATGAAATTTTCCAAGACTATGTATTTTTTTCCAGAAAATTAAAGAGAATATACTTTCTAATTCATTCCATGAGGCTGGCATTATGCTAATTCCCAAATCAGAAAAATACATTAGAAGAAAAGAAGACTACAGACCAATATCCCTCATGAACAGACATAAAAAGCCTAAAAACCAATACAAACTGAACCGGGCACTGAATTAAAAACTGCAGCATTGTGGGGTAGTCAGTAATGTGGCTGTTAGTGAGGCTGTATTCCACATAGCTGTGTGGATGGAGTCCTGACCTGGAGACTTGGAAAACATGCCAAGCACATGTGCCCAAAATCCCAAGAGGAGAATGGAGGCGAAGGGACTGCTATGTGGCCAGGCCCCTCTGTGGGGGGCTAGGGGGTAATTTTTCACTGTCTGTGTCTCTGGTGAGTGCAAGCATCCTATAGCAAAATTCTCTTAAAAAAAAAAATTGCTGAGAGTAAATCTTGAGTATTCTCAAAAAAAAAAAAGTCACTTTATGAAGTGATAATATATATTAATTAGCTTGTGATAATTTTTTCGCAATGTATAAATATATCAAAACTTCATGTTGTATACCTTAAACATATACAATTTCTGTCAACTATACCTGAGTAAAGCTGAAAAAAAAAAACAAACAAGCAAAAAAACCTCCAAAACCATATGATCATCTCTACAGATGCAAAAAAAGCTTCAATAAAATGTAATACCCACTGATTTAGGAGGTGGGGGTAATAAGAGCTCTTAGCGAATTACAACCAGAAAGGGGCTTCTTCAAACTGATTTCAGGTGTCTATTAAAAAAAAAAAAAAAAACAGCAACAGAAAAGACTAGAGGTAACACACTACTTACGATGAAAGACTAAATGGTCTCCCTGAGACCAAAAACACCACTTGTAGTCAACATTGAAACACAAGCCAGTGAATGTAATACAAAAATGAATAGAAACAAAAGGTCTCAAGATTGGGGAAAGAAGACATAAAACTATCTGCAGACACATGGTTATTTGTAAAGAAAATATAACAGATAATGCAAAAAGGCAACTAGAAGCAACAAATGAGCTCAGTAAGGCTGTAGGATAGACTACACAACACACAAATGAGTAGTATTTCCATGTACCAGCAACCAAAAGTCAGAATTTGAAATGAAAACAATATAACCATCTACAATCCCATAAAAATATGAAATACTTTGGAACACATCTGAAAAAAATATGCAAATCCCCTGTATGTTGAAAAGAACAGAACATCATGGAGAGAAATTCAATAAATTCAAATTCATTCTGAAGAAATGGAGAGAAACATAAACCATGTTCACAGGTTCAATGACTCTCCATGACGTTAAATGTCAGTATAGGACCAGTCGGTGGCATGGTGGTTAAAGTGGCTGGATCTCACATGGCCAACAGCATGGTTCAAGTCGTGGATCCCAGAGATCTAAAAAAGCATGCTGGGCATGTGTGCATTCATGCCCGAAATCTCGAAAGGAGAAATGGAGAAGGGATTGAGACATGATCATCCCCCATAAGGGGTACTTCCTCATATTCCCTCTTTCCTCCATCTCTCTCTCCATCAAGTGCACATACCCTCTGGCAAATTTTAAAAAAACTAATAAAAATTAATAAATGTCAGTTTTCTCCAAATTTATCTATAATTTGAGTGTAAACTCAATCAAGATCTTCAAAGTTTTCCCTGCAAAAATTTACAAACTAATTCTAAAGTGCATAAAGAAGGGGTCATTAATAAGTTTGTGAAAAATATGTACTATGAACATGGATTTCAAAAGTTTTGTACCAGAATAAACTTTTTTTTTTTTTTAAGGTTTTGGTCATGGGGCTCACGTGCTCCTCAGAGAGAGACAGAAGAGAATCTCCAAGGGGATGGCCATACCACAATCCCTTCTCCAGGATTCTGGACATGCACATACACGTGCCTGGTGTGATTTTCAAGCTGCCAGGTCTGGGACTCAAACCATGGTTGGTCATTGAGTCTCTAGTGCTTTAACCATTATACCACCTGCTGGCCCTCAAAATAAACTTCTAACGTAATTTTATTATTTCACAATCTTCTGAAATCCTCTGTCTAAATACAAAGGACCGAGATTAGTCAAAACAACTTGGAGGGCCAGCCCATGCATAGTAGGTAAGGCAGGATCTCATGTAGCTGACTGTGTAGTTGAGCCCTGGAGCCAGTGGCTTGAGAAACAAACATGTCAGGCACATGTGCATGCTTGCCCACTATCCCAAAAGAGAGAGGGAGAGGGAGAGAGGGAGAGAGGGAGAGAGGGAGAGAGGGAGAGGGAGGAAGAAGGGATTGCAATGTGACAATTCCTCGTGAGAGGTACTTTTTTACTTTCTCTGTCTTTGTCTAGAGAGCACATGCACCCTCTAGCAAAATTTAAAAAATTAAATATTAAACAAAATAAAGCAAAAAAAATCCACCAAGTTTGAGAAAGTAGAAAAATCAATAGTTACTATAAAAAAGTGATCAAGATCACACAGCATTGGCCGAAAGATGAATGAACAAATAAATCATAGAGTCCAAAAATACATCTACATATATATGAATAGCTAATTTTCAATAATGATAAAAAGACAATTCAGAGAAACGCTGCTAAAAACAACTGTACATTGGGAACCAGCAGTTAGCGTAATGGCTATGTCGCTGGACTCCCACGTAGTCGACCGCGGTTCATGTCCCGGGCCCGGTGGCTTAAAACTCACGCCGGGCGTGTGTGCGTGCGTGCCCAAGATCCCGAGAGGAGAATGGAGGAGAAGGGATTGCGGCGTGACCATCCCCCCTGGGGGGTGATTTCTCGCTTTCTGTCTCTATGTCTCTCTCTGTCTGTCTGGCGAGCGCACGCGCCCTACAGTGAAAATCTCTCCAAAAAGAAAACAACTGTACATTCAACATGCAAACAAAACTTTGATTTAAAGTCATACCACATACTACAACTAAGCAGAACTGGATCAGAGATTTAAATTTAAAACAATAAAAGTTCTAGAAGAAAATACAGAACATATTTATGACCTTAGATTATACAACTACTTCTCAAATACCAAAAGTACAAACCACAGACGAAAAAAGTAATCAATTGGATTTTACCAAAATTACAACACCTGTGCTTGGAAAGATACGGTTAAGAAAATGAAAAGATATTACAAAATGTGAGAAAATATTTGCAAATCCTAAATATGATAGAAAACTTACGTCCAGAAGACATTAAAAACTCTCAAAAATCAGTAAGTTAAAATACGACTCAGGGCCACCTGGTGACATAGTGGTTAAGGCAGCTGGATCCTACATGGCTAACTGCACCGTGCAGCCCCAGACACAGTGGCCTGAGAAACACACCAGCTGTGTGCACATGTGAGCCCCAAATCCCGAGAGGAGCTTGGAGAAGAAGAGATGGCAGTGTAGCCACCCTCTTTGGGGGGTGTTCCTATCACCCTTTCCTGAGGCAGTACATGTGCCCTATGGCAAATTTTTAAAACTTACCCAAATTTCTTAAATGGGCTAAAGATCTGAATTGACTTTATCAAATAAAATACCCAGATAATAAATAAGCATCTAAAAAGATGACATCTTAGTCATGAGGAAATGCAAATAAACTACCATTAACATATCTATTAGAATAGCTGAAATTAAGACAAATGATCAAACCCTTAGTAAATTAAGAAAAGAGAGCAAAGATAAGAAGCCAGAAATTATCAAAGAAAACCAGACTGGAGGTTCAAACAAAATGCAAAGTAGAGAGAGAAAGTAAAATAATTTTAGCCTATTTATGTAACTTTAGGAACTAAATATTAACAATTTGCTACAAATAAGCTTATCATCATTAACTGGCCTTTAAAGATTACGGCAAATATAAATGAAAATGAAGCAAGTCTCACCCCCGGTAATACAACAGCTCCAATTCCAGTTTTTAGTTTTGACCTGCCTCTGCCACCTCGTCCTGACAGTCCCGCACCACGAGGTCTCCGCTTCCCTGGAAATCCAGACCCACGGCCCTATGTAACAGATAAGAAAAAGTCAACATTCTGTAACTGCTCAAAATAATTTTTAAATCCAAATGTCACTGAGATAAAGCATTTTATTAAATGTTATACAAATATTTGCTTCTCTTATTCGGATCAGATGATAAGTATCAACAGACCAGGTTTATTACTTGTGTCTTTAAATATGTATTCCACAACTTCAAGATATAAATACAAATCCTTATCACTTGAAAATCAAGCTTTGGATCTGTCATTCGGAACACTCTCCATCAGCAGACCTTGGCATTACTTTTCCATTTCTTAACACTAAATTCCAGGTGACAACAGCCACGACAGAATCCAGATTATCTCCATGTGCACCAAACTGTACCCTACAGATAACTATGAGGAAAACTCCCTTGCTGACTGGCCGCTGTGATTATAGGAATAGTTAACATTTATCGAGTACTAACTATGTACTGATTAAGTTTTTTATTTTAAAAAAACATCCTTCAAGGTAAACGCTATTTTCAATTTCCATTTTAGATACAAGTATATTGAGGGATAAAAATGTTAATGTATGGTCTATGGACTTCATGTCCCTGGTTTTTAACCACTATGCCATACTGCATGAAAATTCATTTTTGCTAGTGTATGACAATATTCTTCCTGTCATTAAAATTCAGTCAATTTACTTAACTATTCAACATCTGTCTTATGAACAAAACATGTCCACTTCATCCTACCATTGTATTTGGAGGAAAACAATTATTTTAAAAATTAAAGGAGGGGCCAGCAGGTGGCGTGGTGGTTAAGGTGCTGGACTCCCACATGGCTGACTGTGGTTCGAGTCCCAGACCTGGCAGCTTGCTTTCTATCTCTCTGTCTCTGTTTCTCTGTGGTCAGGGTACATGTCCTATAGCAAATTTTTAAAAACTAATAATAATAGAAAATAAAATTTAATAAGTATTTTTCTAAAACATTAAAGGAAAACTGACTAAAGGAATAAAGCCTTTCTTTTAAATCAACTGGGAAACATGTACCAAAAGTAGAAATAATTTATCTCTTTTTATCCAAGAGAAGAAAACAATCCTTTAGAAAAACATGTTAAATTCCCATCTTTAAGACATTGGTATCAGTATTTTGGGCTTTTGCTTTTTTTCTTTCTTTCTTCCTTATTCTTATATATATGTATTAATATTTTTCCCTGAAAAAAATCTGGTATCTTATACTTCACATTATAAAAATATACAGGAAAATCCTTTCTGATGCTTATTCCCCTAACAAGTGAAATAATGCCCTAACTTAAACTGATGCTACTTATTATGAAATACCAGACTCATTTCCTACTTATCAGAATGGTTTGTAAGTGAACAGTTTACGGCAGACCCCGGTGGTGACACAGGGGTGCTGAAGCAGACCCACTTGGAAACAGTCCTAGGTTCACCCCTGGGACCTCCCTGCTCACGCCGGTGTGTGCTGTGATCCTGACGGATGGGGCCGGACCCCGGTGTAAAGACCGTATGGCAACGGCCTATCTTTCCCCTCACCTCTGCCTCACATGTGATAGGGTGAGACTGGACAGCTTGTCTTTTTTAAAATGAGCATAAAAGATATTTAAATAGTTCTATCAGGGGAAAATTCAAGACTATAGGGCTCTCTCAACTTATTTTACTCAGCAGCCAATGAAAGAGATTAAGAACGTGAAAACTGGTAGTTGTTAGAAAATTGTCAAAAAAGTCTGCTTTCCACACTCGTATTTATATTTCAGTATCTTGAATGGTATCGGGGTGAGTTGAAAAATGATTCTTCCAATAGAGATAGAAGGTAAATATCATCTAGAACTCCTTGAAAGTCCTTAATTGGACTAAATTAAACAGCCTAACTTTGGAACTATATTAGATATGAGGAAAAGTTGTATTCTATAGTCAATAAAGTATTTTAATGTTTGAGATGATTAATACTTTTTCAAATTAATTTTTGTCATCAAAAATGCATAAGACTACTTGACTTTCTTCAAGGACCAGTAAGGTCATAGGCCAATGGCATGAAAGCGAGGCCTACAGTTCCAGGCCGTGGATGCGGACAGTGAACACCACCGCGGCTCTGGCGTGTCCTCCCCACTAGCACAGAAGAGATGGCTGAGGTTTTACTTTTTTTTCTCTTTATGGTATCATGAATGAACAAGTCCTTAAATACCTTTTGGCCTACATGACAAGGATTTCCCCTCATAGAAACACTGGTAATTATAACAAAAGAATCAACCACAAAAAGAAGTATTAACAACACTTTTAAAGTCACGATTTAACTTCTTTATAATACAGACTTTAAAATACAAGCATGTTATATCTTTACATTAAGAGTTTTAGATAAAAAAAAAAGAGGTTCTAGAATCTGAATCTAGAAAAGAAAAATTAACATCCAGTAGGACAAAACAAACCAGAAAGAAATGACACGTGAATGTAAATGCAATTTTATTTACCACTTTGATGCTCCAAATGGCACTGCCAGGAAGCTGCCTGGGTTTAAAAATTTCCCGACCTTCTGAAATGTCTGGGGACCAGGAAGGCGGGCTCACTGTATTATGGGTGCTCCAAGCCCCCTAGGATATGGCAGGTGAGAAAATAGATGTATAAAACTTAGCAACATAAAAGGTCAAAGCCAGCAACTAAGGAATTTCAGAACAGCAAAAACAAATGCAAACGTATGGAAATTTAGGACAAGTTGCTTCAAAATAGGGAAAACAGGCTTATCACAGCAACTGTGTACTTCAATGTTTGCAGCTATAACTTACATTTTATTCTGGCTGAAACATCAATACAGTGAAACATTAAAAATTAAAGTCCTCATCACATCAACATTGACTTGCCAACAGCAATTATACACCCCCAAATAATTCAATCAATCACACTCTATAAATGAACTCCAGAAGAAACTATTTGGGGATTATTGTCTTCTAACAACTATCACTCTACTGAACAGAGGAAATGAATAACCTTAAAGAATGTGACGTCCTATTGCTATAAACAGCCAAACCAGCAGGCCAAAATGATCAGAAACATGAGCAGTCAACTGATACATACTTTAAACTGTGGAAAGTTGGTAACCTTAAAATGTTAGTATCTAATTTCAGTTTTATTTATTCTTTCTTTAGTGACCATTAGTTGTGGGTTTGAGTTTTGAATTTTATGCAGAATGAATATTTCACAGAGATCATATCCCAGAGACCAATTTGAAAAGCAAAGAAATGTGAAAGCAAAATGTCCTAAATTTGCAAATTAAAATGCTTTAAGTACCTGATAAATTTCACAGGAAATATTATCTTACTGAAATAGTTAAAACTAAGGATTTATTTCCAAATAACTACATTCAGCAGTAATCTGAACTGATCTGATGGAGATGCTGAACAACATGAAGAAAAATGTTCACTCCACAAAGGTAACATTTTAAAGAAAAACACACAGGTCAAACAATAACCTACTTTGAATCAGGTAATTCAATGGTGCACATTATAATTTTATTCATTAAATGACCCAAACATAAGAACATAATACTTACCAGTTTCATATTACTACCAAACTAACAGGAATAACTCATTAATCACATAAAAATACCACTAGAAATTAAAATAACCAGAAATAAGAGCTTGGTTACTCCTAGAGGAAGAGGGTGTTAATGGAATAACTGTATTTTGAGAAAAACCATGCAAAGGAGAGACTAGTTTCATTTTCAACTTATAAACTCAAACCACACATTTTAACTCCAGCGGTCCAACTTATTCCAACACTTTTTTTCCAACACCCTCCAGGATAACTCTTGCCTAGGTTTTCTCCCTTACCGTCAACTCTCTAACCTAGCTGTCCTCAAGTTGGCCTTAGACTCACCGCATGGATCTGACCAGAACAGAAACCACTACAGCAAGGCTGTCCACTACTGTCCCACTATGGACAGACTTGCGTATGCATCGCACCTGTTTTCTGCCCCACTGTAGCAGCAGTCCCAGTCTTCGATAACCTCTGTGTTCTCAACTCACACGCTAGGGGGGCCCGGCAAGCAGAACACTTGTGGGCACTTCACCGCCCTCCCTGCTGAGCTTTCGCGGTCTCCTGGCTAAGTGCTGTCTCCACCTGATAGCTCCAGCCCTGCTTTTCGCAGGACTGAAGCCTTGACCGTGGATGGTATGATCCTCTTGGAAGCTGCCTCCCATATTCCCACTTCCAGTTCTAACCTACTGTGAGATCCCCATGTCGGTCTAATTGCAATTTCTTTCTCTTATTCTCTACTTCGTCACACTTACCCTCGTAAGTTCCTTTAAAACCTCTCCCTTAACTGGTCTTGTCAGTCTTCCCCATGGCATTCAGTCCTCTGGTCAGAAACTACGAATCACTGATTTGCCCTCTTCCCTGCCACCACTCCTTCAACCCAAATCAGCAGTATATTCAGAACTTTCATCCTCAAGTTCTAAACGAATCACTGATTTGCCCTCTTCCCTGCCACTCTCCCCTGCCTCCTGGGTGCTCCCTGCCACCACTCCTTCAACCCAAATCAGCAGTATATTCAGAACTTTCATCCTCAAGTTCTAACGCCAATCATTCTACTTCTCGATATTTCCACTGCCAGCAGCCCCGTCCAGGCCACCACTGTCTCTCAGCCCAGCCTGCTGCGAGTCTGCACCCTGTGTGCTTCTTCCTTCGTCCTTGGGCCTTTCTCCATGTGGCAGCCAGAGGAACCTGAGCTTTTCAAAAAGGTAAATCTGATCAAGCAAGTCGGTCCCTATTTTAAACCCTTCAAGTGCTTCCTACCACATGGGAAAGACAAAACTCTGCCCCCACCCTCCCCAGCTCGACCTGAGCACTGTCCCTGCTGAGCTACTCTGGCTTCCCGGCTCCCCCAAACATGCCAGGCCGTCACCAAACAGCCAGATGGACTCGGAACACTTCACAGTCCAAATCTCTGACCCTTAAAAAATGACTGTTGTCTTCTGATGAAGGATCAGGCATGGCCTTAAATACTGCCTTCACCAGGAAGCAGGCCCTCAGCATTCCAAATGAACCATCTTCTCCCTCCTACACCTATAGCATCCTCTTGTTTTATCACCATTCAGGACGTTTTATTGTTTATTATTTTATTTTGTGGTAGAAAGTAGGGGCAAAAGATATGTGAATCTAGCTCTTTTTGGTTCCCCAAGGATAATCTGGCTAGTGCACACCTTTATAACCACTAAGTAGACTGCTCAATGTCTCATCACTAGACAGTTCTTGAAACATGACATGAAATGCCATGCTCTGGGTCAGCAGATGGCATGGTGGTTAAGGCACTGGACGCCCTCAGGGCCAACGAGGTCTGAGAAAGAGACTTGCCTTCTCATTTTCTATCTCTGGTGAGCACACAAGCTCTATATTAATAATACTGAGTTTTTGGAAAAGTCATGACGTTTTTCGTTTTTTTAATGCAAAAACGTGACATGACTTTTCTGACAACCCAATAATAAATAATTCTTTAAAAAATGCTATACTCTAAGATATAAATAATACTGAATAATTTATTTTGGAAATAAGAGTTTTCTGGTGACTATGTATTATTCATCATAATTTTAAAGTTTTGATGCCAAAAAACTGTAAATGTATAATCCATTTGCATTTCATATATCACGGAGGAACCAAATGAAGGCTCTATAGATCAAGACTGATGCCATTTTAAGAATAATTATAAAACCACTCAACTACTATAAAGAACTTACATAATGAAAGTGTGGATAATTACATTATGAATTTTAAAGAGGTATGTTAACATAAGACACTGCAGGATAGGTTATGTGCAATTTCAAAAGAGCTACAGAAAAAATATTGTTAGATATTTTCACAAAGAAGAAATTACCTAATAAAGTGATTAGACTTGAAAATGAAAATACAGATATAATTATCGAAGGTTAGTTATAAATTATCCTTCAGATTTAGTGGAAAAGAATCCACAGGGTAAGGTGTGCTGCCCTCCTGCCTGGTCTACCTTGCGGGACCTGCCACACTGCAGAGCTGTGGCCCCTGGACCACAAGCACCACGGGAAACACTCCCCCTTTCCCTTCACTGCTGTTCAGTGCTCTGCTCATCACTTACGGAACACCTCTGTTTTCCTACCGAGCATCATCTTTCTTCCTTTCGTGCAGTAATGAATCTGTCTGTGATCACTTTACTACAGCACTAAATATACTAATGTCCCACCAGTTACAGCTAGAATCTTGCATTTCCTCACCTATTAAAAAACAAAAATGACCAATCTCTCCAACACATTGTTACTCTTAAACTGCGTACAAATGGAATTAAAAGTAAAAGGAAGGCAGCTGATGGTGTAGTGGTTAAGGTGCTGGAGTCCCACATGGTAAACCACCGTTCGAGTCCCAGAGCTGGCAGCTTGAAACTCACGCCAGGCGTGTGTGCACGCGTGCCCAAAATCCCTAGAGGAGAATAGAGAAGAAGGGGTTGCAGTGTGGACATATCCCTTGGGGGGTGATTTCTCCCTCTCTCTGTCTCTCTGGTGAGTACAACATGCCCTGTAACAAAATCTCTCTTAAAAAAAGGAAAATGGAACCATTCGGAGGAGAGTGTAAATTATAGAGTTAAACAGAACCAATTTGCTACCAAATTCTATAAAAACTTAAAAAAAAACAAAACAAAAATAACCCTAACTGACAGAGATTGGATTAGATCTCAAGAATTTTTTTTTGTTCTTAATTTGCCAGAGGGTTCATACACTTACCAGAAGGGGGGGGGCACAACCCCAGTAAGGTGTGGTCACACCAGAATCCCTTCTCCACTTTTCCATCCTTTTAGGGTTTCTGGAATACACCACAACTGTCTTCCCTGTATGATTTTTGAGCGATCTTACAGGCAAACTTCATGCCTCCAAGTCTTAAGTCGACCCTGGGTCCACTCTCTCCTGACATTATGCAGAACTAAGGTTGCTATTAAACAATGAAAGAAAGGGCCAGGCAGGTGGCGTAGTGGTTAAGGACGCTGGACTCCCACATGGCCGACTGTGGTTTGAGCCCCAGGACCTGGCGCCTTGCTCTCTCGCATTTCCTCCCTCTGTCCCTCTCACTGTGTCCCTCTCTGGTCAAATAAAAATAAATTCAAATAAAATAATTCTTTAAAAAAACAAACAAAAATTCTGAGCTACATTAAAAAAAAAAAAAAGAATAGAAAAAAGAAAAAGAAAAGCAAAGACATTGGAGGGAAACACAAAAAAGAGCAGTAGCAACCAAAAAGTCAGAGTTGATTATGTGTCTTGTTAATAAATACTCACTAAACTTGTGTCCGTTGGCGTTATAGTGGCAAGCACCTCACTTTTATGAATTGCAGAATCCTTTCACATGAAGAAGTCTCATACACAAGACTGAGTTCAGCATCAGCGGGACTAGGACTAGCAATTACGCCTGCGGTGCCTTGATAAGGCGCTGGGGGACAGGGACAGCCGCCGGCAGTTTTCGTTCTCAACAGTCTGAGTGCAGCGTGGGCTGGTGCTAGCGGTGGTGCTGACAGAGCCGCAGAAACACCACCGAGGGCATGGGGCCAAAGGCAGACTCTGCTGCTTCTAACCCGTGTTTT